ATAGCCAAAATAATTTTTTTTAAGTACATTCACCATTAGTTTGGCAACAGGTCACAACTTTTTCAATAGGAATCAGTAATGATATCTTATCGTCCCTTGCATTTATAAGAAAAATCACAATCAATAGCACTGTCGGAAGGAGGCACCCGTTAGGTCAGAATCGTAGTAGGGGACCATCCTCGCTGATTAAGAATAGGCCATGCGAAGTTGACACACTAACTTTGGGCCAAAGCTCGCGTATATAGAGTAAAATTGCTAGATGTGTCCCACTTAATTGAAAGGTGCCATTCGTTGGCTCTATATAGAGGGCGTGTAGTAATGCCGCTCGATATGAGTACGGTAACGTGTATTCGAGCCCCCTGTTCCGATTTTTAAAGGAAACAGGACTGTTCTACTTTGTATAGTATATACTGTATATTTGTGTGTCCTCTATATTTGTTGAGAGTGAATATGTTTATTGGTGTGATTGTAGCGTAAGAAGGCCGATGACGGAATATTGAGTACCCATCAACTTTAAATTAGATTAGTTACACAATTTGTGTGGAGGTTGATGGAAGACTATCAAGTACTCTACCACCCTGTGTGTAATAGGAAAGAATGAGTGAGAGAATGGTGGTGAAGTACATCTATTAGAAATTTTGAAAAAAAAAAAACCAACACTCAGCTCCTTTGTCTGTAGTTTTAAACGGAAGTACTAAGAGTTTTTCTTTGTTTAAAATTTGCCTTATCCCTTTTTTAATATAATGGCCTAATTAGTTGATTATAGGGTTATTATAAGACTGACCCAAACCAAAACCCAAGATGCTGATTCTCAAGACTTCTGTAGTTTAGTAGCTAATACAAATTTTCATGTTCTACCTGTCGCGACCAAAAATCTTCAGCTATTGTATGCACATGTTTACGCCGTAAGGATTACTCGGATAAGATTTCGGAAAACCCCCCGCCACGTTTCCGGCCTCGTCGTCGGCCAGATCGAGTTTTGATTTCGTCGTGTCGTCGTCTTGAGTCATTGTAATTTTTATAAATCGTGGCCCAGTTTAAAATTTATTTTATTTCGTTTATTGTCTTCATTTGATGAATTTATCGTCGTCATCGCTCCGGTTGGTGAGGTTCCTGAGATATCTGCGTGGTGAAGGTCCCCTGTCCCGACTTTTCCTGTCTTTTCCGACCATTTTCCTCCTTGCATCCCCCTTTACTTCAGTTGAGGTAGCTGGACGATCATCACCCGAGGTGAGTGCTTTATTTCCTTTTTATTTGATAATTCATTTTATTTTAGTTTAATTTTAAACCCATACAGTCCACTTGATCAGACAGCACATTTTATGAATATTAACTGTATTACTCTTCTTTCTCTAAAATGCGTGGATCTGGCTTTGTTTACAATATGGATTTTTTCTGTACAACTCATAAGCAAATTCTGAAATAAATAAAATCAACATGGCAAATACTGATTGAGCCCATTTTCTTTTAATTCTGTACTAAGAACATAACATTACGTTAATTTTTTTATATTTACATAAAGATATGTTTAGAATTTTTAATAGTTTATATTTTGTTTTGATTATATATATTTTTAGAATGTATAATTTTTCTTTACTTTTTCCCATTTTTCTTAAACTGCTAAAAAAGGAATAGGGATTTCGCCAATTTTGTAGTATTTACTTTCCCTAGCATTTTTATTATTAATGACGTTAAAATTTATTACAAATTATTGTTTTTTACTGAAAGAAAATTTAATTAAGGGATTTTGAAAAATAAAACGTTTTAATTCCATAATGTTGTCTGATGATGAGATGTTGCAATGCTGCAGTCAGTTGTTGCAGGTCAACTGGCTGCGGATGATGATCGAAAAGCATCTCTGCAACGCATCCCATATGTGCTAAATGGGGGAAGGGGCAGATGGAAATTCCCAGGTTTTATGAACAATGATGAACACTGCCTTTATGAGGTCCGGCATTATCATCCAGAAATCGAAAATCCCTGCCAATGAGTTCTCGGTTTGAGGGATGTATTCTTCGATACTTTCTTGGACATAAAGGACTGCGGTGAGTTGCCTTCAACAATATGGAGTCAAGTTTAAATCTCAGCAGTTCTCCAATGTAATCCAAGTCCAGACCATTACACTGCCTCCTCCAAACTGTACTGAAGGGGGGACGAACTGGGGCACTGTACGCTTCCCCTGTTCTCGGTGGACTCTTCGGCTTCTGGTATCACTATACTGACAGAACCCCGCATCAATAAACATAACAATTGGTGTTCTCTTCTAGTTGCTCACAGTATCATATTCTCCTAAAAATATGAAAGGGGCACAGGATGTGACGCCAACTGCCTCTGTGATACCCACTTGCCAGTGACCTCGATGACACATTCTCACAATAATATTGCGAACTTGTCGTTCAAGAAAATGTCTTTCCAAGGTTAAAGAGAATACAACTAGATTAAAATGGAGAAAAGACGAGAAAAGGTGTTTGGTTTACAAAATGAGTAATCATCACGTTTAATTTTTCTTGAGCAAATCCGTTGTTACAAATGAGGATTAAATGTTTTTGGTTTATATTTCCTCTTTTGTTTTATCCAACTAACAAGAATATATCGGTTAATTTAATTAAAATTAATAGAATAAGAATGAATTACAAATATCCCTATTAATTTTTGAACATTTTTTATTCAATATAGACTAAACCCGCACGACCTCTGCGAGTTGCGTAAGTGTTGGTTTTCGCGCCGTTATAGAAGATTTTGTTGACCATGATGACAATATTATTGTTGCAATATTAAATAAAGTATTTTCTGAACTGTTTGCTTATTGAAAGATAGTAGAAAAAGTACATTAAATATAGTACGTCACTTTGGAATACTTTTCTCGAATAGTGTTCAATTAATTGCCTAAAATTTTACTTGCGTTTTGGCAACTATGTGACAAATAGTTCACAATTTTTTTTTTAAGTAATCGAAAATACTTCAAATTTGCACATTTATTTAAATATGGAAATTTATGCAATATTCTTCAAACATGCAGAATAAAATCTGAACTTTATTCACACAGCTATGATCCGACAAATCCGAGTTTTACGTATACGAAAATTTCCTAAGGTAAGTAATTATTATATGATTGGAATTTGATTTTGAGGCAAAGTATACATTTTTTCGAACTTCAAATTTTTTATTTTGTTATAAATTTTTAAAAATATTGAACCACTTATTAAGGGCATTTTGTCCAATAAACCCTTGAGAAAGCCTTTTATTTCTTTTTGAAGTCGTTTTAACTTGTGCACCTTTTTCGGGGTTTTTCTTGAGATGGGTCGTGTAAAATGAGTTTTCAAAAAGGCAAAAAAAGGTGTTTAAACCGGAGACCATTATACTTAGGTAAGAAGCCTCCAAATAAGGTCGGAAATTAATCACCAGGGATATAAACGAGAAAGCTGAAGGTGGAAATCATATATTGTACATAGCTCTGGAACGTTAAAAAAATACATTTTTTCAATAATCGCCAGAAATTCAAAATAGTTGTAAGAAAAAATGTTTTGAAGAGAGAGAAAAACCACACATAATATATGAAAATGACCAACTGTTGAAACTCCTTATATTCGCTTCTTCCAAAGTAAACAAAGCTAAACTCCGTCATTTTTAAAAACTCTTCCAATGCTTTGAAAATTATTTTACATACACTGTTTGACGCAGTCAAGCTTGAAGAATGTTTTAAGCAAATAAAATAAATTATATTTTGATGTTGTCTCCACTTATCCTCTCCCCTATTAGAGATAACTAATATGATCTGGAATAAATGTTAAAAAATGTAAATAGCGACAAAGATAGGAGTGACCTTTGATCATGGACTGACTTTTAATTATAATTAGGAATATAGGACTTTTCAAATTTTAATTGTATTTCTTTAATTAGCCCCATTTTGAATTTAATTAGCCTTTATGGTCCTCATATTACAAAAAGTTAATTAATATTATATATATATATAATAATTAATATTAATATTATATATGTATAATGGGATGTGAACAGTTTTAAAAATATGCAGCATTTACACTTAAGTTACCATTTAACACAGTTTTTTATGAAGAACTGAAAGTGTGTGAACAAACATTGCTCCTTAAAAAATAAAATAATTATCAGTGATACTAAAGTATTATTTAACTTATTGCATAACATTATAAACTGTCCAGTGCCAGTCGATAAACTCCTTTCCAACATGCCAAAAAAAAAAAATTAAAAAAATAAATAAAAATAAGATTCACAAACTTATTCTTAATATTTATATTAAAGTACAATAATATTGCTAATAAACCCATATATGAAGGTCTTGACTGAGATGAAAAAGTTCGTTTCACGAGCGGGATTGGAACGCACGACCTTAGGGTCAATACGCCCCTGCTCTAACATGTCACGTTAGCTCAAGTGGTTAGAGAAGCGATGTATTCAGCCGAAGGTCGTGGGTTCGAATCCCGCTCGTGAAATTAACTTTTTCTTCTCAATCAAGACCTTAGATAAAATTCCTAATAAATTATTTATATAATGCCTAGTTATCAAAATGGGTAGGTTGGCAAATCATGCATTTAGATTTGTTTTGTAACTTAGTGCCTAGATTTAAACCAAAAATTGTGTATACTTCCTTGTAGCTTCATGACATTATGATAAATATGTAAATTAGCTATATAGCTGGTAATAAAACATTACGATTATTATAAATGAACGTGTTTTTGAACCCTTTTATTTTTTACGCGGGCCCATACTTTTTGTATTTTGTTTGTACAAATGTGTTCAGCATAGCCACATATAAAATTTGCAAGTTTAAGTTGGGAGAAATGCAGATATAATGGAACAATGGTGAGTAATATTTTAAATAAGTAGGCAACCTCTAAAACTAAAGGTAAGAATTTTATGATCTTGATATCTGTTTTAAAAATCCCCAGTGGTTTTATTTTTTGTTATATTTTTTTGGTATCAAATAATTAAAGGTTTTTTTTAAAATAAAAAGTCAAACTCACCTTAAGTACAAAAATTTCCCCGGAAGTCCGGTTGATGTCGAACTTGCTGTTCGCCGGGTTGTCGGGGTCTATTCCTTGGCCTGTTAAGAAATAGACAATGTTTTGCGGCCTGTCTTTGTCACCGTCGGTCGCCGTCACCTGTAGAACGGAGAGAAAAAAAACACATGAAACGTTTGTTTTAGACTTTTCGATATTGTTTTAGCCCCCGGAGGACGTCAAATCTACTCGGCCATGGAAGAACAAGCGGAACTTTACAAAGTTGTGACAACAATTGATGAATATGCAATAATAAACGCATGATAATCAATGCGAAGCGCCGCATAAATTTTGTCCTTTTGTTTTTTAAAACATTTAAATTGCAGTTTAAAAAATCTTTTTCTACTTTTATATAATGTATTAATTTAAAAAAAATTAAAAGTGAAATAAAATAATGATATGTCATATAAATGAACCGATAGTTTTAAAATAAGGTCTTCAAATAAAAAATACGGAGTAGGCTTGGCTCGTTTATTAATTATTAAAAAAAAAAAGAAACTTTGTCTAGTTTACACACGGGACAATCTACTATCAGAATAATTAATACTAATGTCCTTATGAATTTTAATAAGATTGCTGTAAGAATAACGAACCCAAGTTCCACTCTGCCAGTTTAGAAATGTTACTCAAGGGGCTATTTTGCAAACGTGCAAAGGTAAATTGAAGTAAATCTTACTTAATTTGATGAATGCCAGTACAATATTAAAAAATAGCTAGGGGTGTTTGCAGCTAGCCTGCAATCTATCTAAATAAGCGGGTACAGTATCATGCTGTGTCGTTTACATTTTTTAGTTATAATAGTTGCTCAGTTAGAAAATTAAATGAAAAGCGTGGCCTTGAAGAAAGTCGGTCAACTTTGCTTGGAAGTTCAAATTTAATATATTTAGGTATGAGTAAAAAGCAAAACAAGCAATACAAAAGGAAAAAAGATGGCTGTTTGGGTAAACTAATTTGAACTGTTTCCAAGCAAGGATGATAATGAACAGTGAAAAACGCTGTTTTATAAAGCGATCTGGTGTTCTTGTGGTTATATCAATATGCAGAGGGTTATTAAGGTGCAGAATTTCTTTGGATGCGTATACTTACAAAAAAAGCGGGTCCCACATTTTGTACCTGTGACCTTTTGTTTATTTAAAGGGTAAACACTTGTTTAGTTTCCTTATGGAAGAGAAATTATACAGAAAAATCCGAAGGGCCAAGCGATTTCGTGTTAGTTATACTGCCACCTACCGTTAGGCTCCACTCTTAGAAAGTCAAAAGGAGTTTCCTATATGGGGTTGGGGGGGGGGATTTATTGTCATTTTGGCATCTTGTACTGGGCATTGTGACAGGTTGCGCAAGGGAGCTTCAGGAGGGTGAAATTAAATAAATTTTTACTTAATCTAGTTTGTCTTGTTTCTCTACCATTTCAGCGTCTTGCCCACAAATGGAAATCGTAACTTTTCAACTTGCTTGACGGGTAGAAGCCGAGGGAAAATTTCATTTTAATAATGAACGTTTGTTTAAATTGCGTAAGCAACTTCGCTCAGAAAAGTTTAGGTTGTTTTGTTTTTAATGATAATGCAATGGAAATTTGCTATTCTTTACTTTTCTTAAAGGGTAATGTTTATATAATTTTTACAAGCCCCATCTCTTTTTTGAGCGCTTTTAAAAACATCTTTATGTCTTGGGTTTTGTTTAAACAAAAACTATTTGACAATAATTGTAGAATAAACTTTGATCACTCATTACTTAAAAAGACGCGACTGTCTACAACAGATATGTCTACAAAATGTGACTAATTTTACTTGTTGGAAGTTTCAACAACTTTATTTTTAGCCAATGTTAATTCTTTAATCGTCTTGTATAATGAAGAAAGGAAGAAGTTCTTGAAAACCGTTACTGAACGATAGTCTCATTTTACTCATTATACAATCAATCTGACAACTTTACTCAATCAACCAACTATCACAATTACACAAATTTTCGTAGAAATCTGTTTAAAATGGTAATTTTTCCAAAATTATTCAGCGCCCGTCCTCACGACCTTGTGTCTTCCTTTATGGCCACGGACTTTAAAAAATGATGGGCCGTTATTGTACCAGATGAATTTTCATGAGTCGGTCGGAGGACATCAATCAGGCGGAAGGTAATTAATCTCAATTGATCACACAACCGCTATAAATATTTATACTGTGGGCGAAGACGCAAAAATGATTTCAATACGACAATACAGATAAAAACAATAAATCGCTTTCTGACTTTTGATTCTGTTTGGGTCACTTACCTGGAGTAGACGGACTGGATGAGGTCCTGCCAGCTCTTCCTGAATTAACGTCGAGTAGACGGAAGAGTTGAAGACGGGCGGTAGATCATTAACGTCATTTACATGGATAACAACCTGTGTCGACTGTTCGTTCAGACTATCGGAAGCCACCAGAGTGAGTTCGTACTTCAGGTAAGAAAAGATTCTCTTAATAAAACATTGCATAAAATCATAGACAAAGAAAGATTAATGAAAATAAAAGTCAAAAAATAAATATGCGTCGTCCATGCGCCTATTCTGTTAAAAATGAAAAACGACAAACGTCTATGCGGGCCTAAACATGCAAAGGGAAACGTGCTCCGTTCGTCTATGTGCGCTCTTAACCGGACCTGAAGGACTCGTTTGGGCAAATTACGATCGTCCTCTTCGGTAATTTGCGTCCTGTATGTGGGTCTCTCGAAGACAGGGGGGTTGTCGTTGACGTCCTTGACGTGGATGACAACCGTCGTGTAGTTTTCTTTCAAATTATCTGAGGCGGCCAGCCGCAGCTCATACTGAAAATTGTTGGCACTTGAAATTTGAGAAAGTAACTAATTGCTATTCACTGTCGAGTAGTAATAAATAAAAAAAATAAAAAGGAACAGCGACCGACTTGAGACTATCTAAGACTCACCAAATATCATAAAACACCTAAATAATTTGGATGTAGGATAAACTTGAACATTTTCGATTTGACCACCAAATTGATTATTTGGGCCTCTAATACATTATTTTTCAGGAAAACTAAGTTAGAGGTTCCACAAAAATTTGACGTTTGTTTAGAAGATTTGAAATGTTTAAGATCATAAAAACTTTCTTTTATTAACTTTTCAAACGCGAATAGAAGATAACCATTGTTAACAATTTTTAACATGCCCAGTATGCCACCAGATCCACCGTAACCTAGCAAAAAAATCAATACTGTTCATTTAAGTGCAAATAATGATCTTCATTTTCTATTCACGTTTGTTTTATAGTAAATGAAAAATAAAAAGAAAATTTTCATCACAATTGAAACTTCATATCTTTTAAAGCAAACGTCTATGCCTGGAGAAATAAAGCTAGGATACAATTCTATAAAACGCCGGACATAAACGACGGAAAGCTGAAGACTATCTTCAAGAATAAGCGCCTGAATATTTAATAATGATTTAAGATTAGATTAATTTATAAATAAAACGAACTAACAAATATCCTAATTTCGTAATTTACGCCAAGAAATTTCTTAGAAAAGACAGAAGAAATAATATTCAAATTTAAAAAAGCAACAAAATGAAGCTACGGAAGTGGGATCACATATTTCAATGTAAAATTCTTACACGGAAGTGGGATCACATATTTCAATGTGTATGTATGTAAATTCTTTCGTGATACTAGGTCAAAAATATTTATTGATAGTTCTTGACGATTTAAGTAATTTTAAAAATGTTGTTATGTATCTGTCGATTTGTTTTTACCTAAAAAATAAGCAGAATCGTTTAATTAAATGGGATCAAAGAGCTTACAAAAATACACATTTATGGGTAGGATTAGCCGAAAACAATTTTTTTTTCTCAGTGATGTTCAGTGATTCTAAGTGTTTCACTTAAAAATTCATAACCCATCATCATATCCAAATTCAACGCTCTTACAATCGTTGGATACTCGAAAAAAATGTGCCCGTCTTTAATTTAAGCCTACGTCAACAACGTTTACGCTTTATGTCTTTATAAACGAGGAAAATAAAGATAAAAACTCTTCAAACGATTTATTTTATACATATTTATTTATTTTATATCTGAGGTTTTAATTTATTTAGGGATGGCCAGGTTTGTACCATTGCGTTTATGTTACAGGGTTTTAAATTTCTGTAAAATTTTCCGGGGGACCGGTGGAATCGTTTCGAAGTTAATACTATTATTCTGATTTTCTAAAAAAAATCCAACGAAAAATTTGAGAATTTGTATTTGGCGGTTTTTTGGAAGTGCAGGAAACAAATATCAACTTTGTTTTTTTCCAAAAAACAAGAACAAAAATAACAAACAAAAAAGTTAACTCACATCGCGACGACGCTCGTTCACTACAACAAAATTGTATTTCGCCAGGTAGCGATAGCATGGACTTTTCGATGTTTACGCCAATGGAAACAATTTTTATTTAGCATAGTTGTTCATGATTAATAATTTAAGTTTGTATCTTTTTTCTTCTTTTTCTACGGAAGCATTCTGTGAGTGAATTAGGTAATAAGCAAAAATTTTCGAAATCTGAGAAGAAAGGATTAAAGGGAGTAAGAGAAAACTAGATTTTTTTTGGAGTTGCTCTTAAGTACGCACTACCGTAACTTCTCCTCTCGTCTTTTCTTCAATACTTTCTTTCAAGAAGTCTACACGAACCGAACTTGTTCCAGTCATCATCAAGTACCCACGAACGCAACTTCTTCCATCAACATCTGAGTACTAACGAACGTGAGTATTCCAGTTCAGCTATCCAGTGGTACACACGAAGGCGCACCATCTTCAGCGAAGTACTTTGTTCATCAAAATTAGTTCGTAATCTGCTCTATTTTTTAAAAATAGCTTTGTACATTGTAGTAAAATCTGGCTAGAATTCCATTTTTGTATTATGTTCATTTAGGTTTTTTTTTTAATTCTATATTTTTATCATTTGTTCATTTTCATTATTTATTAATATAATAAATATCATACTTAATTGATAAATCGATTCTTTTTAATCACGTTTAAACAAGTTATTCAACAACCGGCACTTTATCTGGTAGCGCCCGGACTTGGAGCGTAGAAATATAATACATACTCCAGCTGGCGTATCCAGTAGGGAATGCAATAATTATAAATTTGTGACCTAGCGACGTAGCACAGTGATTTAAATTATTAACAAAAGTTTCATTAAAATCGGCGATCTCGCGTCCGTAGCCTAGTAGTAAATGTTACAAATATTGGACTAACACATATATAAAAAGTTAATTTTTATGTGTCGATTTATTAAATATAGTGGAGTGTTATACACAAGGCGCCTCCTTAGGCGAGGAGTAGTTATTAAAATTTTTGTTTTGCTTTCCTTAAATAAACCTTCACTTCTTATATGACAGAACAGGAAATATAAAATATACAATAGTATAGACAGATGTAGTTAAAAATTAATTACCATGACAACTTCTTCTACAGGAATGAAGACAACCAACAAAAATTCCATTTTTACGAGAGTTAATTTGACCAAACAATTGTCCAAAATGGTTTTTAAGATAAATATCAATTATATTAATGTAAAAATGTAGTTGAAAAAGCCAACGTATTACTATAACGTTTTGGTGGCTTTTAACCAAACATTTTTTACATGAAACAGCACAGATATTTTAGGGTCCACTTTTTCATGTTGAGTTTTTGTTCTTAAGAAGAAAATCATTTAGGAGGAAGAAACGCCTAAATTAAATTAAACATGGCGATCCAATTCCTTGCATATTTTCTATTCACAACACGCCTCGCTCAATTCAAAATATAAAGAAAAGAAAAAGAGATACGTTTGCCACAGGACAAAGTTTTTCCGAGACATCGGACAACGGCAAAATATTCGAGAAAAAACAACCGTGTCAGGCGAACGCATCCATCGACGTTACGATTTTAACACAATAAATCTGTTAAAATCGTGTAAAATTTTTACAGTTATCGAGTCGTGATGTAATCAAAGACTACGCTGTAGCACAGAAAATCCAATATTGAAGAGATTTTTGTACAGGAGGATATTTGTATTTAACAAGTTTCATGATGATTTTTCGTTAAGGATTTCGTAAAAACACACACGAAAGATAGTTAACATATTCTGGAACAAAGTAATAAAAGACGAAATACAATGTTGTAACTTAAGACAACTTTGAAAGATATGCCCTACGACCTTTTCCCCAATATTTAATTTTTTTTAAGACTCCTACACGAAAAATTAATAAATATTAATTAATTGAAAAGCAAAAACACCAAGGTGGAATGGCTTATATTCTTAATGTATTGTTACAGCCATTTCTGCCAAATAAATCTTTTAAAAAAGACTTGGTTTCTTATGTTCATTAACAGAGTGTAGGACTTTGTTGAATGGGCCATTTGAGAAAAGGTCCAGTCCTTAATTTAAATCTCCCCTCGCCGAGATCGTATTATACACGTTATTAACCTTGCTTGCAAACATAAAAAAATGTTCTTTTTTTATTTATCAACTGCTGTGGTCGTAAAGAAATTTAATAAAGACCGGCGGGGCCGCAAGACGCTGCAGTAGCACCCGCTAAACATGACCCGGCGTTAATTTAATCAGAAAAATTTTAAATAACCGTGGTGATTAAAAAGCCAAAATTGTCTTTTCCAGGACATATTTTCAGCAGAATATCCAGGGCGTAAGGTGAAGGTCTAAAACGATGAACCATTTGGTGTTATTCACCTCGATTTTGCCAATACGCCAATATTGATTAATGTGTCCATTGTACTTAGTTTAATCAGCTGGGTTAATAATATAATTAATTAATAATCCATAGGTAATTTACGACCAAATAAGTGCAATATTAAATCTGTAATAAACATTTGGAAAATTGTTATTAATAATGTTGAATTATTGCTTTGATCAGAGATATGGTCCAAGATGGCAATTATTGTACTACCGCCAAGCTTTTGACATTTAACGCTTTCCTCTTGGCTCTTAATAAACAATAATTAATATAAATATATAATAATAACTGAAGTTAAATTAATCGATTAATCAATATTAAATTACTAAGCACTGATAAACATTTGAGCAATATTCGATTCATTTCTGTTTATTGTAATGTTACTATCAAACGAACTTTCGTCGTAGTCCTGTTTTACTTTATTTTATTTTATTTTTTTTAAATTTGCAAAGATGAAATCTGTTTTAGCTAGTCGATTCTATTTTGTTTTTCACATGCAGAAAGTGCTAGTCGAACGCGATGTAAAATATGTACTTTTTTTGGAAGGAGGCTGTCGTGGACCAAAGCCGATCGAATTGATTTATCTAGTTGAGAGATTTATCTCTGTCGAATACAATGGCACCTCAGAAAAACCGACTTTAGACAATGTAAAGATGTACAATACTCCAGAGATGTGTTAGAGGCTCCAACACAGATGTTCCAATTTACTAAAACTTGTATGCAATAGATCGATACTTGAATGCTGAAATCGACAAGAGACAGAAATTTGGAAGACCGCATTTCAACTGTTCCAACCAATGTTTGAACATTAGGAAATTAATTCTATTTCCTAAAAGACAAACATATAAAATATTCAAAAATTAACATTATTTAAATTGCTAAGTAGATTACAATTCAAAAACACTCTTAACTAGATAATCTTGTGGTTTATTTATATAATTAGCATAAAGATTTTTTGTAAAAATAAAAACCGGACAAATGACATTAGTTTACAAAGTTTTGAATAAAGTCTTAATTGCTAAATAATTTTACAAAAAGATGATATTTATCTTTCGTTTTGATCTAAGACATGCTACACAATCAACTCACTCGTGA